GAAGTAGCCTCACAAGAAAAGTTTGGTTCTGGTTAAGAGTACGTCTATAATAAATCACTTGAAGAAAAAAACACACGATAAACACAGTGACACGGTACAACACCAAGAAAAACAATAAAAATACTTAGTAGGACTAGAAAATGCCAAGATTAAACAAAACAAGAGAAAATACGCTAATGATGTCAGCGATAACATATCAACAAGATCTCACTTGCGTATTAGGTTATTCTTTCCGAGCATGAGCTTTAGGAATAACACGGCTAATGGTAAATTTTTACTTTATTTAGGAATATTCTTTTATATTTTTTTTGAAAGTTTTAAGCACATTTGTGTATCTATTTTATGGTTGTTTATTTTATTTGTAGTTCTTAAATATTTCCAAATCCTAGTAAAAATAAATTAATTTGAAGTTGTTCATTTTATAGTTCCTATGTAAACAGTACACAAGGGTCAGATTCTGTCTTTACAATTTCAACTGACAATTTGTTGCGGGTTGTCTAAATATGTGACGTCACACTAAAAGAATCTATTGAAAAACCCTTTTTCAAAAATTATATCCCACCATCAGTTGTTTGAATAATAAAAATATATACAATTTTATTATCATAAAACAATACCGATTAATCAAGGTAATATGATAAATACAACTCATTTCCAAATTGTTGTCAATTGCTTATGTGTGTGTCAACTTGTATGTAACTATGGGGTAAATCACTTAATTTCCAAGGATTGATTTTAATTCATCTCTTTTCAGTCTATTTATTTTAAATCGATAAAGACATGGTAACTCTGAATGTATTTGCCTCATTATTTTAAACTATCAATCCTTTACTATACTATTAGTAAGTCAAATGCACAATCGAAAAATAAAACTCTCCAATATATTTTAATTTTTTATTTACTCAATAGCATAACATATAATATTTTAAAGAAGGTATATCAGTTTTGCAATTATATAAAATATATTAATTTATTTATGGAGTAAAAAATAATATATAATTAAATGTGTAACATTTTGAATATAATTGTAATATAAATAATAATATTGCTGCTTATATAAATTATAATACTAAAATACTCGTGATATAAATATATACTAAAACATGTATATAAAATATAATAAAAATAGAAATATTTACAATTAACGTATAATATATAAATAATAGCTAACAAGTTTGTTTAAATTATAATAGTAAATTCTCAGATATAAATATATAATAAAAATATGTATATAAAATATAATAAAGAAATATATAGAAATATTTACAATTAACTTATATAAATAATAGCTATCAAGTTTTGGTTTTAAAAGGCCTGCTGCTGATGTAGGAAATGATTATTATTTCAACTCATCACTCATTATAGAATAATGGCCATACNCAGATGAAGTGTCCGATACAGTTGTTATGTCGATATTTGAATCAACCCACTCAAACCCGCCGTATGGTAAATACTGACTCATGGCCCAACCGTACTGATTATTGATATCAAAATATGATAAATATTTATTTTGTTTACTTGAATCGAAATTTTTAATGTACTTGTTGTTTGCTACACTTTTTCGCTTAGAACATTGACTTAGCCCGCCTCTAATACCTCGCTCTACAAACAAAATTTGGTCAATATCCGTTAGAAGCTCTAACGAACACCCAGTATATTTGAGCATACAGTCAAATGTGTAGCCCGGTAAGGTAAAATAGTGACTAGGATCTAAACCGTATGTTTTATGGCAACTGCTTCGAAACTGTTCAAAAACGTCAGCTAACAATAAAATATCGGTTTTCATGTACAAGTCAGTGTACTCGCCTAAATTTTGAATATTAAACGCGGTCCATACACGTTGTGCATGCTCATACTGTTTACTGGATATATTTTTATTTTCTAAACGATTAAAAAAATTTTGTCGTTCCGGTAAAGATCCGAATTTAAATTTATCAAAGCTGTCCATGAAGTCATACGGATACACCCCCTTCTTCGTTAATAAATCAAACTGATGGTCATCTAATTCGGAAAACTCGGCTTTTAAATTTGGAAACTCGGTCAAGTATGATGATAACGTATCTAATGCGGAATTCATGAAACGGAATGAATCGATAAAACGGAATTTTATTAAATTTTGGTCTAAATTTTTAGTAAATGATACGTATTTTTCCTTTGCTATCGGAAGTACATCAACACGCTCCGACATATCATTCGCGATATTTTCCAAAATGAAGTGTGCATCATAACCGCTCAAATTGTGAAAGACAACAGGTATAATTACCTCATCCTTGTAATTAATATTGCAATCATTGTGTGCGGCGCCCCTATAGTTATTTATTGGAAAAAGATGATTGTGGTCACGTACCTTTATGTCATCAGGCTTAAATGGCTGTTCACAGATGTGGCAGTGTGTTGCTTTACCAAATTCAGCCTCTTGAGCAGAAGTCATGGAAATGTCGAAAGGGCACAAAAAAACCGTTTCAACATCCTCGGCGAACGCTGACATTTGTTTAGCAAACCATGACATACAGTCCTCACCACGATATGATTGATAAAATGATAAAGAGGGATCGTATGAACACTTGACAAAGTATCCTATAGCAGCAGGCACATGCCGTTGGTACTTGTTGCCAGAGTCCTCCTCTATCAGAACACTCTCGAGGTCGGCGTACACAACAAACGGCACTTTTTCTTTGTTTTTATAGTTTTTAAACTTAAGCTCTTTTTGGTCCTCAGTAGGTAATCGCACTCTGCAGTAATTCTGATTTTTGCAGTCGATATAATGGCTGGTTAGTCTTTCCGCGGATGAAAAGTAGTGCAGGCATCGATCACAAAAATGCTTCTTAGCATGATCTTTACTAAGTTGTTGTGATAGGAGGCGTGATAGATCCTTTATCCATACGTAATGGTATCTCACAGATGTAGTACCATTATTACTCCCATCCTCACCCTCATCAGCGTACATATCTTGTATTAAAAGCAGGTTGACGTGCTTATCTTTTTTGTTCTTCGTCAAATAAACTGGGTGTGTAGTGAAGTTCTTTTTTGTCTTTTTGAGGCAGTATACGTTGATGGATACATCGTTTTGATTCTCGAACCTGGGTAATTGTTTCATAGTTATGGGAAACTGTATACCCGTCAGGTTGAGTACCGTTGAGGGATGTGGGTAAGACGAAGTCCTGTCGGGATGATGAGTATGGTCGGCAACAGGATACAAGGCCGATGTCACAGCCCACGCAAAACAGGCGTTATCGTCATTTTTTACGTTAACGCACGCCTTTTTTCTTTTAATTTGTTGCGGAAGGTCGATGTATGATGACCCCAGCTGTGGCGTGAATTTGTTTATGTTCACTCCTAGGTTCGTAATAGCCATCAAAGACCAGCCTGATTCACGTTCTTCAAATTCTCCAAGCTGAGTTAATATTGGAGCGGTCACATGACTATTAAACCATTCTTCTAAATCGGTGTCGTGGCGATAAATCGGGGCATTTTGAGTATTGAAGTATTTAAACTCCTCAATAACTCTGTCAGCTTTTTGTAGAACAAACTTTCCGCAAAACACTGAGTTGACCTTCACTGCCTCGTCCTTTTTTAAAGCATTATTTATTCTCCTCTTAAACAACACTGAACAATCATGAAGGAATTCACGAGGCTCCTTGTGTTTCAAGTTGGATATTATTCCAGTGCGGATGCGGCTATCGAAGGCTGTTTCAGAGTCATCCCACTTTACTCTGTTTGTCGCCGTCTCCTTTCTCGCTGATGTTCCAGCCCCATGTTTTATCGAATATTTAATTTGGACACGAAAGCTTTTAATTTGGGCCAGAGTAGATAAAAGATTTTGTTTTTCTCCAATGGTCTTGGCAGTTTTTAGTTGATTTTTAATATTTCGCACAGCTTTCGTGCACTTCCGAAGTCCATCCGTAGCGGTTTCTTCATTAGGTGATTGTTTCAGAAGTCCGAGTATCACACAAATTTGATTACACAAATACTTTAAAATATCTGATGCCGCCATGATCTCTGAAGGTTTATGTAAAACTAAATAATGTCTGTCATCTTTTAGCCTTCTAGTCATAGAAGTTCGGCAGACTAGTGTCGGTGAGATGTAATTAAAAAAGGTAACGTGATTGATGCGCGATACTAAACCAGCTGCAATCATCTAAAAGGCCTCCTGTAATCGCTGGTTTGTGCGCGTTTTACATAAGAATCAGTGTTAATTTACGATATTCGTCTACGTGAAACATTTTACCATATAGTTACATGCAATTTGAGACAAACACACATAAGCAATTGGTAACAAGGTCACCTCACTGATGCGCAATACTAAACCAGCTACAACGATCTAAAAGGCCTCCTTTAATCGCTGGTTTGTGTGCGATTTACATAAGAATCAGTGTTAATTTACGATATTCTGCGACGTGAAACATTTTACCATTTAATACATGTAATTGGAGACAAAACATCAATGCTATAGATAGATAATTGATTTTCTTTTGTGTTGTATGATATTACACAGTATTTAATAACAATGTGTAATATGTAAATTATTAAAGACAATTTTTTCATTCAAACCGGTGTTTAAATTAAATGAAAATATAAAATTTTATTCAAAGCGAACCGTTTAAAAAATGTGATTAATTAAAATTATATCCTTCAAGTTGATTTTAGTTTATTGAGGAAGGTGGAAGATAAAATAAAAAAGTATAATAATTAGATTTTTCTATTAAGGGTATCTATACATTGTATTACCATACATTTCAACATAATTTATACAGTTACATTTTGTAAATAATTTTTCTGAAGCTTTGTTAGAACAAAACGTCGAAAAGTGGTTACGTTCCTTGACATGTTCTATCAGCATTGTGGCATATCCTTTTCCACGATGTCCCATCAATGTGTAGATATAATTCAAAGTCTTCGGATTCGAGTGCTTATTGAGGGGGTTAAAGTCCATTTTCGATAATAAGGCAAATGATAAAGGTTTGTTGTTGCTGTCGCACAGTATGTAGCATATAGGTCCCTTATCTCCATACAATTACAATATCAAAAATATTGAGTTTCTTAATTGCACACAGGGCTTTTTCTCCATGAAAGAATTTGATTATCATTTTTTGCTCTTCGTTTTAAATTTTAGCTTGAATTCTCACTACCATGTTCAATGAGAGAATCCCTCGTTGTTATAATGTTATTAATGGAAAAAAGAGCGGTGTAGGGGAGAAATACAAGCCGTCCTCTAGGATCTTTTTTTGATATTAGTATTCTTCTCTTTCACAGATTTCAGTTGATTTCTTACGTGACTTGAGAGGACATATTTTTTTTATTATATATTGATGTTATTTTAGTTTATAACCAAAACTTATTTTTAGTACCTACCGTTACATAAGGACTTGTACAAAACACCATTAGATTGTATCGTTCATTATGAGGATTTTCTTTATCAACATTATTGTCCTCACTTGTCCTCAATGTTGTCCTCACTTGTCCTCAATATTGTCCTCACTTGTCCTAACTTGTCCTCACTTGTCCTCAATGTTGTCCTCACTTGTATACATTACTATCCACAGTATCCACATTAGTATCCACATTACTATCCACAGTATCCACATTAGTATCCACATAATTGTACAGTATTAATCAAAAAATTATTGATTCCAAGGATTTTTGGTTAATTTTATCCAAAAAATCATTGGTGCAAGTATTTTTTTTTGTTAAATTAGTCGATTTCTCATACATAACCTCTTATTTGTTACAGGAATCTACAGCTACAAATATAAATCTTAGCAGTTTTCATACATCCATACCCACCTACATGTATATAATTATTAACCAGAATGATGAAAATTACTAGCAGCATCAGCAGCAGTTCCCTCCCGCAAACTACACACATCAGTTGGAGAGATAGGTTCATGTAATCTTTTTTCTATGCTATTTTATAGTATAAGTTTCTAACTTTGTATTATAATGTTGTGATGAGTACTATATACCCTGAAAATAATTAATATTAATACAATCTTTATAGTGTAAATCTAAAATAAATATGTTTAATAGCGCTTAAATTTATATATATTTTCTCTATAAGTTCCCACGCCAGAGTCCCAGCTGCAGGTTAAAACTTGTTTAAAGGCCAGACAAAATTCTAAGAAAAGGGAAATAAACCATGAAATTTGTTTACGTAACGGTAATATAAACAACGCTTTGGTCACGTATTTTCCTAGAAATACATCTATATATCAGTTTCCGAGAAAAAATTATGGCGCACACCGCCTTTGAAGTTTGTTTACATAACTGCTTAAAAGCCCGACAAAATTCCAAGAAAAGGGTAATAAATCATGTATTTTAAGTACATTAAACAAACACCTGGACCGAAAATGGTGATGACATCATCATTGTTTTTCTGAGAATATGTGTCACAACAAGCGTTGTAACAAAAAAATAGCTACTATACATTTCAAAAATAATTCAAAATATTAAGCCATCAGATTGTTTTTACTTTTAAAATAAAATTCATATTAATTGTTACGCTTTCAAATGCTAAAACTTCAGCCGTTTTTAGAACGCCCCTTATAGCATTGTTTATTTTATCTTCTTATCTGATATGAGCTGTGCAACAAAAAATTCCCAGACGATTACGTCACTCTCACATAGCGCTCGTTTCTTAAATTTTCTACCTTATAACAAAAAGATTGATATCAAGAGGCCGTCGCCGTCGCCGCCCCCCGCAGCCAGCTGCTTGCATCGCTGATCGGCACCGGCCGCCTGCTTCCCCCTCGTACGCCGGCACCCCGCTCCCCCCTCGTACGCCGGCACCCCGCTGACCGCAGCCGACTTCCAGCATCGCATACCTACCTAATACATCGCATCTCCGGTACATGAGCGTTGTGGTCTAGTGGGTTGTGTGATTGGCTCGCAATCCGAAGGACCGGGACTCGATCCCCACAGCCGGCATAGGTTTTTTTTAAATTATTAATTCTTCGCCAACAATGACGTCATCCACTGACTAAGTTTTCCGGGCTAGGAGGCGGCTGAAGTCCTGGAGCTTAGACAGGAGGCGGCCTGATTTTGAATTTCGGGCCTTAATCTGATTGGTTCGGAATATTGCAATCTGATTGGTCGATCTAAACGGAAGGGGCGGGGCCAAAAGGAGGAGTGGAGGGGGTAAAATTGGTCAAAAATTTGCAAAATGAACCTCCATAAGAAAATACATGGGATTTTGGCTCCGTACTCACATAGTATATCTACTTAAAAAATTTTACTACTTCTACTATCAGACGTGAAAAAAAAGCTTTTCTATGTTTTTCCTCAAAACTTAAAGTCAGAGGTATTACTGAATGTGAAGTATTTAAATATTTACTTAAGGTCAAATCTAAAGCAATTGGTTCTGATGGAATACATATAGATTTCATTGTTTTGTGCTGCCCTCTTTTAAAATACATTTGTCACATAATAAATTATTGCTTGGAATTTTCAATTTATCCTCATGCTTGGAAAATGTCGAATGTTATTCCTCTTCCAAAAAAAAACACACCTAGAGAACTAAAAGTTTTAAGACTTATTTCTATTCTTCCTGCTACATCTAAAATTTTAGAGTACATTGTAAAAGATCAAATTATGAATCATTTAACTATTAATAACATACTGCCTATTGAACAGTCTGGTTTTCGAGAAGGACATAGTTGTTCTACTGCTTTATTAAATATCACAGACCATATTTTTAGGGCTACAGATTCTGGATTATGTTCGATTTTAGTTTTACTCGACTATTCGAAAGCATTTGACACAATTAGTCATGACATTTTGGAAAACATTTTAATGTTTGCTGGTTTTGATATATCTGTAGTACAATTTATTTCTAACTATTTAGTAGGTAGACAACAAAGGGTAGTACTTAAAAACGATATTTTGAATTATATTAATACTAATTGTGGAGTGCCTCGAGGATCCGTATTGGGACCTACGTTGTTCCCATTGTATACATCCTCGTTCCCTAATTTTCTAAAGCGCTGTAAAATTCAAACGTATGCAGATAATCAACTATTCTATTCATTTCATCCTAATGATATTCAAAATAGCTGTATTATAAATAATAGTGAACTCGAAACACTTCGTCGAATTTCACTGGAGCACTCTTTGTGTTTAAACCCCACAAAATGTGTTACTTTGCTTTTTGCTAGTCGGGTGAAATATGCCCAACTATTACCCGAGGTTAATATAACTGTTGATAATGTTCAGTTAAAAGTTAGAAATGAAGTTAAAGTTTTGGGTCTTACTATTGATAGTGACCTTAAATTCAATAAACATATATCAAACTGTGTAAAAAAATCCATTATTAATATAAAAATATTATACAAATCCAGACACATCTTTAGTGAAAAACTAATCTTTGATTTTATCTGTGTTTAATTACGGAGATACTGTTTGTGGTCCATATTTAGCTCAAGTGACATCTCAACGAATTCAGAAAATTCAAAATTACTGCCTTAGATTTATACAGTGCGTCCCAGAAGTAACGCAAAAAATTCATATTTTATTTTGTGTTGAGTTTTCACAAAAACGCTTAAACACGTCAATTAGTAAATTAGAATTGTCGTTTTGTCACGTTGCTTAAACCTTTTTTGCGCTACGTTTCATAAACCTATGACGTCATCGACATTTTTTTTAAATAGCACCACCTAATTTTTTAAGCATAAATGGATAGCCCTTTTGAAGGGAAATGCGTCAATATAGGGTTTGGCCTACTTTAGTTTGACAGGAGCGAAAAAAATGCCAACGATTGGAATGAACATGGTTTGAATTAATAACAAAAATAGGTATCACAAACTTATGCGCGAACAGTGCTATAGCAAAAAATCTGTTTTGGTTGATTGTTGGCACATGTTTTTATGTAGATTGGGTAGGTACACCCGANACTAAGTTTCCCAGGCGGCGTGGAGGCGGCAGGAGCTTGGGCAGGAGCGGGGGCGGGGTCAAAAGGAGGAGTTGAGGGGGTAAAATTGGTCAAAAATTTGCAAAATGAACCTCCATAAGAAAATACATGGGATTTTGTCACAGAATGAAGGTAGCCTATCTACTGACAACCTATTTAATGATTTAAGTATAAATATACTTAATTGTTTGTTTTTCAGGAGAAAGATGTACATTGATTTTTAAAGGTCTCTATAGCCTACAGACGTTAATAATAGAATAAATATTCTAAATAAAAAATTCATTTTTTATTTAGAAAAAAATCTGTAGACCTTGTAAAACATATATTTTGAACAAGTAAACTTGTAGAACGTGAGTATTTTTAGACACTGTATTATTAACTTTTATGTATTTTTTTTTTGTTGAACATATTTAATAATTTGGACAAATAGGAAGTACACTGGGTTCGGACAGTTACGAAACCTATGACTCTATGCAAGAAAAGTCAGTCAGGATACTGTTTAAGCCACCACTTTCATTTACACTCGACCAGAGTAACAATTGAAAGGCTAATTTGTAATACATTTCCATATTAGAATGTTGTTGATTGCTGATCCATATGCTGCTAACAAATGCATACAGTACAAAAATTTTATATACCTAATAACTTACATCGTAAAATATCCTTTTCAATATTTTCTCATTATACTAAATTAGTCCTATATTTCTATAAGTCACACCTATACACACATTTCCTACCTGTCAACTCACCTGAGATGACCCGAATTGTAAATTTACATTTGCATTCTCTATGTGGCGAGAGTTGTACCTCCAGTAATTCACAAGAGACGTAGAAGAAGAAGCAGCTGAAGATGGCGGAGACGCAGGTATAGTAATACCAGCTAACCATTCAACCTCTGTTTGGTCACGAGGGGTGGAATAGCGTACTTTACCATCCATTTCCACTGTTGGCAACTGACGTCTAGATAGTCTGTAAACAGAATACACAATAAAAAGAAAAAGTTCTTTCTATAAAATTGAAAGAAGTGGTTTAATAAGTATATAATGAAATGTTATTTTACCTTAACTACATCACATTAATATCAATAAATTCATAAATTCTTATTTTATTCTTAAATAGTTTTTGCAGAAATAGTGCTTCACTAGTGTCTAAATATTTGACTACTTTTTAAACGATACTTTGACCAATTTATATCTTCACTTATCATTAAATTATTATGAATTGATGCATCAACTTCTTAATAAGAATACACAGCCCCACAAAAAACAGTATCGTATCTGGCGTTCAGACCCATGAATTTCCATGTATTTTTTTCTCTGAATCCGAATCCGCCTTCAGATTTGACTCAACGGGTCTGAGTTTTCGGGAAAATTCAAAAAACAGGTCAAAATTCACAAAAAACGTCATTTACGATCGACGAAAGTTATAAAAAATCAAATTATTCTACCAGCTCAATAGACGTATGATTTTTCACTCGTTTAATTCCAATTTATCATCATAGAGTCAGACAAGCTGGTCCACTTTCATTCAAAAACTGAAAATAGATCAAAAACACCATTTTCATGGCATAATTCGTGTTGCAGAGTTCCTGGATTCATCTTTTTATCCGCCCACCCATTTATGAATTCATATATCTTTCTATCCAGTCGTTCATGCATGAATAAGCATATATATTCGTCCACCTGTACCACCTATAAAACCCACCCGTCCACCCATCTATCCATCTACTTTTTGTACTGAGAGATGAGATAACAGCCTAGAAGATTGAGAAAGCAATAAAACTTGTAGAATACTCTACTTTCTAAATAAAAGAAAACGATATCTACAAATCATTTTTATTTTTGTCGCTATAACGTGTTTTCTTTTCTTCAAAGAATCTATGCAAAGGGTTACGCTTTCGTTTAGTCCCTCTATTTTTCGTTTCTCTTTTTAACAACGCAACGTTACATATAAAAATTGATTATGCCATTCGATAGAGGGCAAAAGTGGCCATGAGAAAGTGTTCTTCTTTTTTCAATATCTCCTCAAACAAGGCTGAAATTAAACAAAAATGGATATCCAAAATTTCGGTTTTTTCAAATATTTCGATAACTAATTATGTTAGCCTTGATTTTTTAGAGGCATAATGTTGATCCCTTGATTATGCAACTTTGCCCCCATTTAAGCTATTTCGTAGCTCTTACCGTTTCCCTGTAGTGAGAAGCGAAGTTGTAATAGCCTGTATATATGTTGTCTAGGATACATGTAATTTTACATTTAAATTTGAAATAAAATTCACTAATCTAAAAAAGTTGAAGCTTTCTGAAAAAACATGAAGAAGACGTAGATGGTTTTTATTTTACAGAAAAAACACATTACTTTTGTTTTAAAAGCGATATGAAAGTACATACACATAATTAATACGTCTTTAGTGTTGTTTAATTTAATTTTGCATAAAAAAAGTTCTCAAATACATTTAAAATGGAGGATATGGTTTTTATTTAAAAATTGCATCATTGGTTCTCATTAATATACCACAGGTGAGACAACCGACGAATGATCTAATTATTTTGATATCTATCTACAGACATGGTTTGAGGATAGCTAAGATATAATTTAAATAAAACAATAAATTAGCATTTAGGAAAAATATTTCGCCATTATGTGCCAATTATTATTTTTGGACAAAAGTGTCAAATATATTTTAGAGATGTATGAATTTCGCTGAAGCACTTCTGCCAAATCAAATAAATTGACATAATAAAGGCCTCGAAATAAATCAACTGCTGTTTTCTCAAATGAAGCAGTATCTATTACATCTTCTATTAAAATGCTTTTTTTTTACTAAATTATAAATTATACTAGCACTTTACAAAACTTATACAATTTTGTATTTGTATTTGTATTTGTATCTTCAGTGGAAGTTGTGTTATGCGTTAAATAGAAAAACTTACATTATATTTCCTAGGAATATTAAAATATATATTCCAATTATTTTTGTTGATATATACTTATTAAGTAATAAAAAAAATATATATATATTTTTTTAGCATCTGTACCTCCACATACTTTTATAAATAGCATTTCTGTATAAGTATATCCCGAAATATGTATTAATATACGTATAATGTATTATAAAATACATACACAATTTTCACACATACCTTGTTCTCACGACTCTAAGCAGATACTGTCGGTCTTGTGAGGCTTCACAAATCTTATTAACTGTATCGAGAACTTCCACGTTCGACGACAGCTGGGCAAGAGTGGCCAGAGTTTCCAGGGCTGCATGCCTTACTCTCCGACGACGATCTCGAAGTGCAAAGGCTGCGAATTCCGTAATTTTGCTAACCTCAACTTCGCTACTTGGAAGCAGTCTTGCAGCAGCCATCAAAATTTGCAACGCTCCTACATTTAGGACAAAAATGCAATAAACATAAATGTAGTATTAAAATATCTTTTAAAAATTCAGTAAATCTAGCATCTACATCTAGAAGGTTTCCACAATTTTGTTCTCGATATTTGTTAATATTTCTTTTCCAAGTTTTAATATCAATATGTCTTATATAAATTGAATTGTACGTTAATTATGGCGTTACCGCAAAAAAAGTTGCATTTGTAAAATGCAACACTCTATAGAAAAAGTAAGATACAAAACAAATAAAGTGAAATAATTTCATGGTTATACAGAGGGAAAAGTCCAGAATTTGGTTGAGAATGTCACGAATTGATATAATTGATTTCCAAATCTAAATTATATAATTTTCATCACTAGTGTTGTAAACTCTTGATAACAGTCAGAAACTGAAATTTTTTACTCGTTATGTGGAAAACTCCCAACTCCACAAATAATAAATCTGTTATTTGTGCATTTATTTTTATTTAAATAAACTGTGCGGCGAATCTATAAAAACGACTGACTGCCAGTTTACTAATATTTCATAAAATACATGGTAATAATAGGTATAAACAACGTTTTTTACAAACGGAAAATGTATCAACAATGTTGATTTACAACACCTCCTGTGTGCAAAGATAGCAGATTAAAAAACCAATAATTACAATAAACAGAGCAATAAAAAGGACAAGAATGAACACAGAACGCAATTAAATACAGTTAAAACCTACATTCATCAAAGAGTACCAAATAAGAAAAAAGTATATTATTTTTTAACATAAATATGTTTAACGGTGGTCACTGACAAATTGTGATACTGGAGTGGTAAATTATTAATAAAATAAGCTAAATATGAAAATAAATTTTTCAGTTTTTTGGGAAGGAATACACGCTTTGCTACTCAGTGATATCAAATTTTTGGTATGTGTTTCAGATCTCTATTTTATTTTATCACATAAATATGTGGGTTTGTTATTCTTTAAAATATTGAGTATGAAACTGGCAAAATGACTAACTCTTAGACATGCTCAACAAATTGAAGGAACTTAAATATGGAGTTAGTGTAATGACATATTAGGCGGGAAACAGCAAAACGCCAAAAGCGGCGGAAATGAAAACCGCTTTTCTGTCTGATGACATACTGCACAATCGCTCGGGGGCGCGGCAGGGGGTGGGACCTGGAGGGTCACATTACACTTATGTGACTAAACTGCGGGACACTAGCGATAAAACGAATGCAACAATTCTGTATTTTTTGCAAACGGCGTCTATTTTCTTGAGAAAGGAAGGAGCCATATACAACATCAGCATAATTCAAATGAGATAGATAAGATTCGGTAAGTAAAATTTTGGTTTGAGGGTTTAGATATTTTTTAAAGCATTGAAACTGTTTTAATGATTAGAAAGCTTTCTTACAGATAACAGTTACATAATTCGAAAAAGTCAACGATGAATCAAAGGTCAGGCCAAGATTTTTAACAACATTAGCTGCAAGAATATTTTCATTGTTAATTAAAACAGTAAAATTGTCCAGACCTCGCAATTGAGTTGATGTTTTAAATAGAATGTTTTGACTTTTATTAGGATTAACTAATAAAGTATTTTTTATGGTCCAGTCATGAATTAATTATAAATCATTATTAATAACTGCTGTGGCAATATTTAAATTAGAAGGCTTAAAACTATAAAGGAGTTGTAGATCGTCAGCGTACATATTTAGTTTACAATTTAAAGGAATTCTCGACAAATCTGCTGTAAACATATTAAACAAAAGTGGTCCTAATATAGATCCCTAAGGAACACCAGAACCAACTGATCTATAAGGTGATGTTAGTATCGAGGAATCTGTATTTAATCTAGTATATTGCTCTCTACCGTGTAAATAATTACAAAACCAGCACAATATATTGCTAGAAATACCATAATAATGAAATTTAACAATAAGGCAATTGAGTCAAATGCCTTAATCCAGTAAAGTTAGAGACGAAATCAGAGAATTGTCGATAGATGTCAAAATATCATCAGTTACATTAGCCAATAATGTTAAAGAACCTTTCTGAAAACCTAATTGAGTTATTATTGAATGTTCAACACAATATTCAAACAATTGATCAAAAATAGCAGATTCCGTAATCTTGAAAGAAACAGAGAGCATACTGGTTGGGCGCAAATTTTTCAACTGTTTTGGATTTTGCTTTTTTGGTAATGGTCTAATAGAAGCAATTTTCCGTTGCTTCGGTCACTGACCAATCTTTAATGAAAAATTTATTAATTATAATAAGACAACAGAATTAACATAAAACAGTATTTAAATTATATTATTACTATGTCATATACACTTATTACTGATACAGTTGGGAGTTTCTACATAACGTGTGACTTTTATGACTAAAACGTTGATTTCAAAAACTTACTTAAAATAGTGTTCTTTTTAGAATAGATGACACAAATTCCTTTACTTTCTTTGCTAGCTTTCCTCTCGGTTCGGGAAACTTCTAATTAAAAGTTAAAGGCAAGTATATTTCCCATATTTTAATCTCATAAAAGCTATGTGGAAATTTATGCAAAATATTATACAGACACACCATTTCCTTTCAGGTGTTCGCTTTTATTTGTTATTTAAATAAATTGGCACTTTGTAACAAAATACGTAGGACATACTATTTTATTATTTAAGTTTGTTTTGATATGTCACCAACAGAATTACGCGAAAACACATTAAAAACTGTTCAAGCGAACATCATATGCTTATCTAATAAAGACTCTAAAAACACGTAAAAAAATTTGCATAGGATATTTCTTTAATGGTTATTTTTCAAAATTTTTTATATTACTGTAAAGTTTGTGAGTATCTAAATTTTAGTTTGAAATAAGATCCTATAGAGAACACGTGATTTTTCTTTGCTTCATCAAACTATATTTTCACAAAATGTTATTGTCTTTGTGAAAATTAAGTATGATTAAATGTTAATTAATAACATTTTACAACAAAATATTTTGAGATTTGCAGGTGTCATATTTAAGACATAAAATTTTGTAATGGCGTTCTTTAGATCAGAAGCTGTGATAAAGGACTCCGCCGGAAACCTTATGTAAATTGGTTTTCGGTCAAATGGTTCGAAACAAGGTGCGTTTTGTAGCTTTTGAGTGGTAGATTAAAAGTGTCAATGGGCGTCAAGCCCTAAAAATTCATGGTTCAAAGTTGCAGCTCGCTGAAACTACAATGCTTTAGATTTCACTACTTGCATAGTATAGTAAAAAAATACTACATTTTTGCTCAATTCTCAATAAACTATCGCCGATATATCGAGATATCTGACTGAAAGGGTTAAAAACGATATTGAGATGATCTTTCAGATCACAAACAGTACAATCGATTTTTCACAATCATTATCGTACAATAAAAATCATAGCGATTGCCGTCTGCATTAGCGTGACCCGATGTGCACCACGGGGAGGTTGCTAGATCGGACTTAGCACATCATGGGATTCATCGAAGTACTTGATATTATTTCGAAGCCGCTCGTAGCCTAAAAACCAAAAATGCAGGCAATACGAGTCCAGTCACCAGATAAACATGTGCAATAACATCTTATATCGTTCATTTGTATGCTCGTCAATAAACTCTTTATCATTTTTCCTTGCGATTTTATCGTCATCTAGTTGTTTCTGGCTTAAAGTTAGGCAAGTCGCCGCAGCATGCATAAAATATTATGTTACTTTTAGTGGCTCGAAGCAAATACTGCGTTTTCGAAATAAAATGTTACTTTATGCATAAAACCAATATGTAATCTTGAAATAGGATTAAGCAATTAATTAATGTTTACTTTTTTAAACAACATTTTCCATCAATACCTTTACAAAAGTATGAGAAACTTCATTTAATACTATTGATTAATCGATTGATTGATTCAAAAGTACGTTTTGGTGAAATAATGTAAAAAAATGTTAATCTATCTATTAATTCTTTTCAAATATATTAAATGATAGCTTAATACTTTTATGCATAAAGTAACATTTTATTTCAAAAACGCAGTATTCGTTTCGAGCAACTAAAAGCAACATAATATTTTATGCATGCTGCGGCGACTTGCTGAACTTTAAGCCAGAAACAACTAGATGACGATAAAATAAAAAGAGTTTGTTGACGAGCACAAATGAACGGATTGGACTTTAGACACATGCGCTCGTATTACCTGCATTTTTGGTTTTTAGGCTACGAGCGGTTTCGAAATAATATCAAGTACACCGATGAATCCCATGATGTGCTAAGTTTGATCTATAGCAACCTCCCAGTAGTGCACATCAGGTCACGCAAATGCAGACGGCAACCGCTATGATTTTTATTGAAGATAATGATTGTGAAAAATCGGTTGTACTCATCGTGATCTGAAAGATAATTTCAATATCGTTTTTAACCCTTTCAGTCAGATATCTCGTTATATCGGCGATAGTTTATTGGGCATTGTGCAAAAATGTAGTATTTTCTACTATACTATGCAGGTAGTGAAATCTAAAGCATTGTAGCTTCAGCAAGCTGCAACTTTGAAGCATGAATTTTTAGGGCTTGACGTCCATTGACATTTTTAATCTACAATTCAAAAGCTACAAAAACAACATGGTTTCAAACATTTGACCGAAAGCCAATTTACATAAGGATTCCGGCGGGGTCTTAAATATGACACCTGCAAATCTCAAAATATTTTGTTGTAAAATGTTATTAATTAACATTTAATCATACTTAATTTTCACAATGACAATAACATTTTGTGACAATATAGTTTGATGAAGCAAAGAAAAATCACGTGTTCTCTATAAGATCTTATTTAAAACTAAAATTTAGATACTCACAAACTTTACAGTAATATAACAAATTTTGAAAAATAACCATTAAATAAATATCCTTTAATCAATGTAATTAGTTTTTTTTGCTGTAAACTTTATTCATTCCAAAAATTGAGTAATTTTGATTGAATATACCTACTAGTAACTGTAATAGCTCAAAGCTTATTATGGAATAAATTGCTGCGGATAAATAAGCTACTGATTTAAAATACATTAAGTTATTGAATCCTTTGTGTCACGAATGTTTTTTGGTATATTAAAATTGTTACTTGTGCATCGCTAAAAAGTTTTATTATCATGGCGGAATTTGCTTTTGCTGCATATTAAATTTCTCCATCAACCTTAATAATTTGACTTCGCTTCGTTAATCAATATTTTTAATGAATTCGTAAAACTGCATTTTATGGTAAGTTGTTATTTCATTTTAGAAACTATTTATAGACTATTCTTTATTTTTAACAGTAATATTTTCCGCTTATAAGTAGTTAGAAAACAAGTTTTATAAGCAAGAAGTAATTACTTTTCTCTAATTTGACAATGTTTTGGAATAGTAGAAAGTTTATTTAATTTTTTTTTTTTTCGTAAAATAATATTGTTGTTTATTTATGGAATGGATATTAACCTTCTCTAGTTCTATGCGCAAAACATTTATCCATTATTTCCAACTGCAATTTCTTGGCCGGACATTTCTTCATGATCATCAAGCCAAGACTCACTCCTGAAGGAGCTCCAATTTTGCAAATTCCTTGAGCCACGCGGCCAAGGCACTGTTCCAGGACTTGGGGCCGGACGCCTTTTACCAAAAGAGCTAGAGCATCCTGGAATGCAAAAGAAATACTTATAGAAACTTGAATTCGAAAGTAATCGAATTTTTATTCGATCTATTTTGTCAGAATTACAAATAATTAGATAAATTTGATTAATTAAACACGCTGAAAGAAAGAGTAGAATACGAATACAGTAATTAAAGAATTAAATATTAGTTTTAAAGAAAAACTATTAGAAATACGTATTTATTTTTGTACGCTCTGAGTAACTTTGTATCTACATAGTGATTACTTATGTCTAGATATTCTTATACATGTAACTGCCCTTGTGAAATAGCCCTTGAGATTTTGAAAAAGTAAAAAAATAAAAGCGTACCCTTTGCATTTGGTAGGATTTTCTATAGGTACAGCTATTCATTTTAAAGTGATGTTTAGAAATATTATTATTAAGTTTCTTTTGTTTGTCTGCAAGAGAGTATTAAATTTTGAAAGATCCTTTTACGTAAAAATACAACTAAAATTATTTTTGGTTTAATGATATTGTAAACCAAAATAAAAATTTCTATACAGGGTGATTCATTAACAATGGGAAAATCGAAAGCTGACGATATTACACGTAAAATGGTGACCATTGGCGCAAACATGCCTTATCCGAAAGTTGATAGTTTAAAAAATACAGGGTGTTGAATGTTAAAATTTTAAATCGTTTTTTGCGATTATTCTGAAAATATGTAGGTTAGGAACTTGAAAATTTGTGAAATTATATTTTTTCAAGCTACGAATAAAATGCGTGCTGCAATTCCAGCATTGCTCATAGAGGGCGCCAGTTATGACCGATATTGCCGAAAATTTAGTTAATAACTTTTTCCCCTGTATGTCTAACATGAAACTTGATTTAAAACCTGAAAGTGCAATAATTTTTCCATTAATTAAGCAAAAATGCTTACACGGCCAATCCAGCAATTTGGAAAAACAGCAAAAATATGTACGCCCTGGCCGAGAAAAATACGATGGAGCACCGTCATGCATAAACACACATGTCCCTTCTTAAATAAAGTGGAACTTCTTCAAGCCGTGGAAGCATTTTTGCTTGGCTACCAAGAAATCCAGACTTCAATCTTCTTGATTTTTCTATTTGGTCTCGAATGAACGATATAGTCTACAAAGAATCTATTGGTTCGCGTGAAGAGTTGTGGCAAAGAATACAAATCGCTGACAACGAAATTAGACGCAATCCCAATATGTTGTTTCAAACTCGAAGATCTCTAAAAAAACGTTGTGTAAAATGTATCAGTGTCAACGGTGGATTCTTCGAACAATTACTTTAAATCATTACTACATATTTCATTTGTTTTATTGTTAATTGTTGTAATAACATGAAGAAACACTTGGTTTGTTTCGCTTTTCATTTCTCGTATTATTAAAACATTGTGTTCGTTAAATCGATTTTTCTCGAAAACGGATCGAGATACCGAAATGAAACAAGAAAACATAATTAATGGAAAAATGATTGCTCTTTCAGGTTTTGAAGCAAGTTTTATGTTAGACATACAGGGTAAAAAGTTATTAACTAAATTTTCGGTAATATCGGTCGTAAGTGGCACCCTCTATGAGAAACGCTGAAATTGCACCACGCATCTTATTCGCCTATTAAAAAAATATAGTTTCATAAATTTTCAAGTTCCTAACCAACATATTATCAGGATAATCGCAAAAAAACGGTTTAAAATTTTAACATTCAACACCATGTGTTTCCCAAACTATCAACTTTCGGATAAGGCATGTTTGCGCCAATGGCCACCATTTCACGTGTAGTATCTTCAACTTCCGATTTTCCCATTGTTAATTAATTACCCTGTCTAAATCATGCTAGTAACGTAAAGTAACTATAGCAAAAATAGAGATAAGAAAAAACAAAAAATAAGAAAATCATGAGCACTTTTATAGATAGTTCAAAAATCAAAACATTTCATATTTACATAACAGAAATATAAAGATGGCTGCATAAAAAGTGGAACATGGTATACATTAAATAAATTGTTTCCTTACGTCAGCTAGGAAGTGCAAGACATCTAGATGCTGGCACGCGAACAAAGCCTCGAAAAGTAATGCTGCAGGTCCTGGTTCCAGAGCCTCGCACGTATTTGGCTGCTTCAACATTTTAACAAGATTATCCAGTGCTTCTGATTTATTACAAAGTTCGTCCTAGAAACAAATAAAAGTGACAATTTGTAAATAGGTATATTATCATTGGTGTATAACATTAGTTTACAAGTATTGAAATAACGAGTATTTGATCAAATAAAATTGTTTCCTATTGGTGTGTTCTGTTCTTTACTTAGTTATTAATTTAGTAGTTTATTTGTGCAGTCTTTAGATATTATTAACTAATCACTTAAATTAGCCCCATATTTTGTTCACGTTAAATCTTAGAAGTTACTGTAAAAAGGTGTGATATCGGAACAAAGACTCTGTCCGTGAGTAAAAAGAATTCAATTCCAACATTACCCGCTACAGGATCGATTCACCGCTGGCTAATTGTTCTTTTATTTTGCAGTGAGACACTGAACACCGACTCCAATTAAGGGTAAGTGTCTAACTTTATCTTCGCTTTTTATTATTAAATTTCCAATTTATAATTCCATTATTGTACACTAACAGAATATCATGAAAAGAATGTTCGAAAATAATCAATAATTTTGTCCATTTAATGAATTTTATTATAAGCAGGTATATAAATATGTATGTATTATAAAAGCTGTAAAATTGTGACCACTGCAGAAGTCTAGAACATTATATAACTGTCATATTTGATTTTTGAAAACTTCGCTAATGATAAGGAACCATCGAATTTAATGGAATCTATTTTTAATTTTAAATGTTGTTATATTTCTTGTTTCATTAAAACATAATTGAATATTAAAAAAACTTTTGCAGAACCATAGTAACTTCAAATTAATTAATTGAAAATTTTTTGACAGGACTTCCGACAAAGAATATTTAATGATCACTTTATCTTCTACATGTAAGTATATAGGGAACTTTGAATTATTTTAGATTGCACTAATAATGGGGGTTTCTGGTGCAAATTGACAAATTTGAAAATTAGTGACGTACAGAATATTGGCTGTTACCGACTTGTCAACAAGACGGGCATTTTAAGAAAATTTACATTTTACAATTTATAGAGGAAGGATTTTGTGTGAATGCAGAAAATATATTTCTCTGCGCCCAATTCGCCTAACACAAGACAAATTCTTTTTAAGATACATCAATCAAAAATGTACTTCTCAGCCTGTTAGAATCAACACATTGGCGAAGGTACCCTCAATAATTGCTTCATTCCTGAATATCGCAAATTCAGAAGCATATACTAGCCATTGTATGAGGCGCACTTCAACAACTTTATTTACCAATAAAGGCTGATCTTACAACCATCAAACGCCATGGTATATGGACGAGCTCCTCTGTAGCAGAAAATTGTGTTGAGGAGTCTATATCTAACAAACTTGATATTCCAAGGAAAATATAGCTGTTCCTTACAAGAAGAGACATCGGCAACTTATGCAAATTCTTCACAACTTCGGCAGATGTTATGCGTTCCGAAAATGATGGCAACAATACTACACGGGTTGTTATTAACGGAAAGGAAGTTAAATGTGATAAAACAAAATACGAAATGTGTATTACTATAAATATAAATGTAAGTAAATAAATCAAAAATTTATAATAGGTTTATTATTTTTTCATCATTCTACTAGTGGATAAAATATCACTTTAGATAGTTCATATGTGTGGATAAAAGTCCGAGGAAAAGGTGATTGTGGATAAAACATTTTAATAGTGCATTTCTCAAAAAACTTATTATTTATACATACATTTGAACATTTTTTGAGCATAAATTATAGCAATTAGTTTGGAGTTCTTATATTTTCTAGTCAAATAAGTGAATACCATAAATGAAATAAGTGAAATTGTTACAGAGTGTTTACAACATGCGTTTCATATATGTTCGACATGAGAAACATAATTTTCATATCAAATAATGTTCAATGTTTATTCACAACACCCTCAATCTGAAAGGCTTCTGACTAAAATTTAGAAATATTTTTTAATCGTGAATTTTGTAATTTTATTCTTCGAATTTTAATTTTCTTACCTCGAACAATTTTGAAATATCTTTAAAGAGCTGTGCTAAGAAACTAACGCAATGTGCAATAAATAACTGCAAAAATAAATAAACACCCTTCATTTGGTATAATTCATTGCTATGGTGGATCAGAATTTCCATTTCATCATCGTATGTTCCACTAAAATTAATGAAGTAACTTTCCTTGAAATTCAACCTTTGGATATTTCCGTTTTTTTCTATTCATCGTCCATGAAACACATAGTATGGGAATAATTGAGATGTAAATTTAAGCACGCAACATCAGAATATACTTTAGTGTTGATATAAGGCACAATATACATAAAATAGAAACTATTGAAAGCTAATACAGTCTTCATAAACGATTATAAGCCACGTGATCAGTAATTTTGTCTGTAAGTGTAATTGTTTTAAATTTAAGATTAAAGTTTCATAGTTTACAAACCTCTATAAATTTCACTTCAAACAGACTTATTATTTTTATTATAAAATTAATTTACAGCCATTTTGTTTGTAAACAAATTAGAGAATATCAATCGTCGTTTCTCAAACTTTCATTAAATTAACATCTACAATAGTAATCGATCCACATTAAGGTTTCTTACAATTTTTATTGTACGGAGGTTATTGATCCCAGCCCATTTGTGTGGATTATGATCTAACAAAAAAAAATATCCACTATTATTCAAATCGGGGTATGAAAATAAATATTTTCACTATATACTCACTATGAAGTTATTTTTATTTTGTTTATGTATCTTTGGCTTTTTTATGATATTCGAACGGTTGTGTGTATTAATTTCTCTTTAACGTTGTAAACACAATTTGAAAATTAAACGATATGTTAGATTTTCATTTTGTGTTTAACTAAAATTTGCAGAAGGGGAACACAAAAGGATTTGTGATGTATACTTATGAGGATGTATGTATTAGATGTACCTATGTATGTATTCCTTTAGAAAGACTAGGACTCAGTATCCTGTATCCAGTAAGGAACTTTGAAATTATGGGTGTGAAGATTTCACTTTGGAGAGATAGCTAAACTCCCCAGCTAGCTTTCTTAATTGGCGTATTAGTCCTAGATGTATATTTTCACATTTGTACATGTCTGCCTTTGGTCTGAAGCTTCGCATCGATCAATTTATTCGATACGTATCTAGCGCCATCCTAATGCCTGCGTTGTTGGCCTTGCGTGCAAGTGAACAATCTTCTTTTTTGCTGACGGTGTACATTTCATTGTCTTTTGTGCGTGTGTGTGAATTTGACGTTTGGCTTGGTCGAGTATATAGCACGTGTTTTTACAGCGGTCAGTAGCATTGTGTATTGTGAGCATAGAGCGGCACACGGCTCCACTACAGATTTAGCTTATTTCTGCTACTACAACGCGCATTGCTGTTACTAGCATAATACCTATAGATTACCACTATTTATTTGATTGTCGCCACAAAGTTTCCGATGTCTATACAGGGTGACTCAGAACGTATCCAAAACAATTTGGGTATAGATGCGGCATGAGAAATGGAGTCAATATGGAAAAAAAATTTTGTAAAATCCTTATAGTTTCCGAGAAAAAAATTATTGAAGTTATAGTACATTCAACGACTACATAGCTGGACAACTGTGGTCTCTAGCGCCATTTGCAATGCGCGTGGAGAGCCACGTGGCTTCAGCGACTCCGAATACTGAAATCGTATTTTGCAATCGTCGTTGCAACAGTATTTACCTGTTATCTGTTGTGTTCACAATATTTTTTTAGTAGTTAGTGTCAAAAATGGGTAGATAGTGTCAACAAATTTATGGTGAAGCATTTGTGTTATGGTGAAGCAAGACAACATTTGTGTTAGTTCGTAGAAACTGAGTAAGACGGACCCAAATGTGTTTACACGTTGGTGGATTTTGAACAATTGTTGTAAAATCGGGTATGTCAAATGATTTTATTATTTAAAAACACAAATTAATTGTATTAATTAATAGAGGCAAAAGCAGTTGGATTTGCCGATATAAAATAGGTGCGATAAAATTCTATTTACATATTTCTTTCCTTGAGAAAGTTTTTGTCCGTTTTTATCACACCGCCATGCCGGTCGCATTGTGCGAGATCAGGTTTTACAGTGGACCAGTTTCCAGTGCCGTGCAGAAGTGTATTTTTTAAATCATTTTCGAACTGCCCTTTTTGATTTTTTCTTTACAAAATTTTATTTGTAAGGGTCCCCTGTACATCCAGAATTGTTTTTTTGGATAAGTTCTGAATCACCATTTAACGAGCGTTCAAATAAAAACGTGGTCAAGTTGGTTCTGAAAATTTGGACGTAGGGCGTAGCGTATAGCAAATGAACTTAAACGTCATCTGTCAAAGCGCTATATCGCCGCTATCAATTTGAATATTTTCGTTTTAAAAAGCGTTTAAAATGGTGTTTTCTCAAGAACAAAAAGTGTTTATCATAGAGTCCTACTTTAGAAATGGACGCAAGATTGATGGAATATGGAAGTATTCTATTGAGGAATGTTTCATAGAATTTCAAAATCAATTTCCCGGCGTTGTTGAGTACAAAATTTTTCAAAGTGCAGTTCAGCGTTGTGTTAATGTTTTTCGTGAAACGGGCAGTGTAACAAGAAAAGAAGGAAGCGGCCGACCTAAAAAGCGGACTGAAGAATTAAAAGAAAATGTCCAACAAATAATGGAAAATGCGCCAAGAACTTCTGTACGTGTTTTATCACAAATGGTGGGAGTATCAGTCGGTACCTGCCACACAGTGTTAAAAAAAGATTTGCGTTTGTTCTCCTATCGTTTAACTTGTCAGCAAGAACTTCATGAAGTTGATTTTCCGCGACGGGCTGTATTTTGTGAATGGTTTTTAAACAACTACGGTGAACTTCATAATATCACCTTTTTTTCTGATGAAGCCTGGTTTCATTTAAGTGGTTACGTAAACTCACAGAATATGAGAATGTGGTCTTCTGAAAAACCAGATAACTTTTTTGTCGAGGGCCCTCTACACGCTCAAAAAATTGGAGTTTGGTGTGCTCTCAATCGAAGGAGGATTTATGGACCTAT